ATGCGATTTGGATTATATGGGTTATTCGTTTGATATTTAACGGGGATTGGGAATTATGTTGCAGCAAAAAATCGCGTAGCGTTTGTTTGCTTCTCTCTGTGTGTTTAATGGGAGTTTTTAACGTTCTCGATCGCGTAAAAGTTAACTCAAATTTTTATGGAGTTTTAACAGCGCCCCTAACGGCAAATTTAGTTAAAAGACACTGAATACTCCGTATTCTAATTCACATTTATTGCACAATATTTTGACACATATTATTTTAAGCAAATCCGTGCTTATACTTATACCAAGGACGACGAACGGTTAAGTTTTTTGCTTGTATGTTCGTCAAAACAATTCTCACAGGTTTTGTTTATCATAATTAAGGACTATTTATGACGAAATTATATTAAATTCAGAATATTATATGAAAAGAAGTAAAATGGTGGTCATTTACTGAGAGTTCAATCGAATTTCTGGAAGACTCCACAAGCCACATCTAGCGGCTTCGTTTCATTTTCCGACACAAGTACACTTTCATAAACGTTAAGCGATTAATAAAATTATAAACAACCTAAACAACCATTTTTATACATGTAAACCTGAAAAACACATAAAACTAACAAGATAAAACAATTCACACAAGCTCGCTACTCGCGTTCCCGCCAAAACAATACAAGCAATTTTGTGTATTTTAATAATGAAAACGTTGTACATGGTATCCGAGCTCGCACAGCCAAGCCACATATCATGTGGGTATTACGTTAACCGGATCAAGCCAGCACTGTTTCTTTGAAACGCAGTTATTTTGTTGTTTTGTTGCTGTTTTATTTCTGTTTTTTAAATAGGTAAAATCTTCACATCTGTGATACTTTGATTAACGAAGTTCAGAGACACCTTGACGCGGATACCTTTAGCCGCCTGGCGCATGCGTGAGGCGGCATCATATTCGTACCCAAAGTCACGAACCAGCGAAAAGTCCAGCAAGTTCGAAGGAATATCTGAGGTATGACGGAAGCGCATTTTTTTTATTTGCGTTATTTGGCTGTATCTTTAGACGACAAACAAAATGAGGAAAGTCAGAACAGTTCGGACTAATTTTTTTTCAATTCTGCCAATCGATAGTTTTCTTACGCGCCTAGAGTTGTCTTAAATTAATCCTCCAAAAAAACCGCTAAAACCCTAATTGAAAATCTCGAAAAACATTGACCTGAAAATAAATTGGCAACAGCAGACGTAAATCCGTAATGTAGCAGTTCACTACTATTAATTAATAATTTTCGTAGCTACACCAGAAACAGTTGTCTCCAATTCAAATTCGGGTTACCACAATAGGTTTAAAGGTTCATCGTAAATGCTAAAAACTCTAAACATATTGTTAGGCTATGGGAACCCGTTAACAATGGACGTCTGGTTTCGGAAACGCTCACACTAGCTCACGGAGTCACGAACATAGATTATCACAAGCACATTATCATATTATTTATTTGTTTTAACTATGTACGTTATAAAATACAACAGATTCATTCCTATGATGTCTGTGATGTCAGTGAGGAAAGTTTAAAAAAAAAAACGTTTTTTGTTGTTTGGAATTCTGAAAAATTGTTACTAAAAATGCTTTTAAAATGTATAATAAGAATAATAAATGTTGAGAATGGTAAGACATTTCACGTATTTTATTATGATTCTTTCGTTTTAATTAGTAATCGTGAAGAATTCGTTACTAAACGCCTGTTATAAATATGTATAAGTACCTACATGAAAAAATTCACAAATAAGGCATATTTTTATTTATTTAAATAGCTAACTAAATAACATATTCGCCGACAACGAATTGAGCCAACATTGGCTCCAACTCATCTCGACTCGCACAATACCATTAATTTACTCACCAAAAACAAAAGTATTAGCCCTTTTTATAAATCAACATTAATTATGATTAGAAAGTACTCACTGAGAGGTGGAAGGTCTGTGATCAAATCCATTTTTCTTCGAACACTACAAACACCGTCTTTGTTTTCACTTTAAATGGGTGTTTTAACCTATCACCCATTTCTCAGACACTATCTCGTCACAGCAACGTTTGTCACAAATTTACGCGAACACGCTGACCGATACATAATAATGAAACGAAAAAAAAAAACCCTGACGGCACAACAATATCTAGTTTTAATATCGTCGTAGCTCGAACATTTTAATTCCGTGTTATGATTTCATTCACCTGTTACAGATTCTATTTGAACGTACTAAAGCACTACGTATCTTAACAAAACAATTTCAATACTGCACGAGCGACACTAGAGACACAATCGTAATGTTATTTGATCGTTTTTGTAATTCGATTATTAGTTTGTTAATGTGAACAACGTTGATTTATAAAATGAACACACGACACAGAAATACGGAATTCGTCAATGTACTAAAAGGGAAACAGGTTATGTATTTTTTACGTTCTGATATTCGCTGTCCACGTGATATCGACATCGAGAATTTAGTTAACGTGCGCTTTCATAGATGGCGTTAGTAGGGTACTGTAGAAATTCGCGCGAAACAACATAAAAATTTCGAGGTAGGTTTTAAAGTGAAACTAACCATGAAAAGTGCTATTGGACGAAAACATTCTCTGCCATTTATTAATTAAATTATTTCTTATCTTTATTGTTTTTGAAGAATTGTTAACATCACGTCCTATACCAACAAGAAAAAAAAATCAAACACTAAGTGACAGCTTACTAATAATATAGGTAATAATAATATTAGTACATATGTACAGTTATTCATTCCATTAATCATTCGTATTTTGCGATGCACCGGTGTTAGAACCCCTCTGGTGAGTACCAATTTTTTAAATGAAATACGTACTTAACAAATGCCGACGATTGACTTCTACGGTGAAAGAATAATATCTATATCTGACACCCCCGATTACTCTCTTTAGACAACCCATACCCTGGGCCAGGAAGGTCAAGTACCTGGGCGTTACCCTGGATGCATCGATGACATTCCGCCCGCATATAAAATCAGTCCGTGACCGTGCCGCGTTTATTCTCGGTAGACTCTACCCCATGATCTGTAAGCGGAGTAAAATGTCCCTTCGGAACAAGGTGACACTTTACAAAACTTGCATAAGGCCCGTCATGACTTACGCGAGTGTGGTGTTCGCTCACGCGGCCCGCACACACATAGACACCCTCCAATCCCTACAATCCCGCTTTTGCAGGTTAGCTGTCGGGGCTCCGTGGTTCGTGAGGAACGTTGACCTACACGACGACCTGGGCCTCGAATCAATTNGAACATAGGCCTCTCCAATAGATTTCCAGTGCGACCGGTCCATTGCCACCTGCATCCAACGAGACCCAGCGCTTTTTACTAGGTCGTCTAAGTCCATTTATGTTCTTGATAACTGCTGTATGTTCTTAAAATAACATATTTTTTTTCGTTTGGTAAACATAATACTGGAAGATTTTTTAGTAAGTATATATACAGTATATTGTTACATATTATATATATAATATATATAATATGTAACAATATCCAAGAGACAGAAATTCGTAACAGAGTAACTGGACTAAGCGAGGCAGATAAATCTCGTGATTCCATTTATGTTTATTAGGTACTCATTTTACGGATTTTTATCGCTTAGGTAAGCCTTGCCTTTCACACGGCGAAATGATTCGTGGTGCTAAAAAGTCGACCGCCCAGAATATATATCTATATATATATATATATATATGTCGTGGATAACGACTTTTAGTAATATTAAGACGGTGGTTTTGATTATTATTTTAAATGATGAAATGTTGTTTTGATAAATATCACAAAATGAAGGGTAGACTCCGTAACGCCACAGTATAAAATGGCGGTACGTGGACAGAGTCGTGGCAATTCCGTGTCAGACAGTTATTCTGTCCGTCTCAGTCAGTGAGTCTCAGTCAGTCAGTCAGTCGGTCTGTCGGTATGTGCAACGAAACTGTCGGTTTATCCTGTCATTGTGAAAGTTGTGTGTGTTGAGTTTCAATAATTATTATTGAAAAGTTTTATTGACTTTTTAAAAACTGTGTTCAACCAAATACGAGTGATGACGGAAACTACCGCTCAGCCATCCCTTACGTGTGCTGACATATAAATGAATTGCTGTTCGTTAGTCTCGCTAAAACACGAGAACGGCTGGACCGATTTGACTAATTTTGGTCTTGAATTATTTGTGGAAGTCAAGGGAAGTTTTAAAAGGTAGATAAATATGAAAATGCTCGGAATTAAATAAAAATAACAATTTTGGTTTTCCCTTTGATGCGTCCCCGTCGGACGGATTCCTTTTGTTTGTTTTAAGTTTATTCTAGACAAAAGTTTAGGTCTTTTATTTATCGATTGATGCACTACGAAGTCAGCCGGGTCAGCTGGTCGTGTAATAAAAATCAACCCCGCAAAATTATAATTTGCGTCATTACGCCCCACATGAGGCAAGGGAACTGCATTACTTACCGAAATATTAGCCAAATACAATGAAAGACTTTGCTTGCCAGAGATATTACTGGTGGTAGGACCTTTTGTGAGCGGTAGGTACCATCGCCCTGCTTGTTTCTGCCGTGAAGCAGTAATGCTTTTCGGGCGGGGAAGCCGTTGTACTGTTAAAACTGAAACCCTACAACTCATGTCTCGAGGTGGGTGGCGGCATTTACGTTGTAGATGTATGTGGGCTCTGGTAACGACTTAACTTCAGGTGGGCTGTGAACTCGTCCACACACCTAAGCAATAAAAAAACCTTCTTCAAACGGAATTTGAAAAGACAATAGCGTCAGTCAACAATTTGGCTAGCAGTGTTGCAAAATGCAAATGTTATGATGTGCATGTTATGTTGCACATAAAAACTATATTACTAAAGGAAAGTGCATGTGTCAAAAAATAACACATACAAATGTGTGATGAAACCATGATGAAAGACTATAAATTAACAATTAATGCACACAGACAAAAAGCTTTGACATCATTTTGACGTTGCCCGTTGTCATAGCAACTATAAAGTCAAACCACTGAAGTCTTTAAAGGTCTATGAGTCAAACAAAATCCATAACGGGGTAAGTGATTCGGGTTGATCGAATTTAATGTTTTATCTTTGTAATCCGTTATTTGTGTGGAGTATTTACCATCTTAGAGGATAAGCCAAGACATTCCCGGCATGTAGATTAGGTATAATTCTAACCTTCTTATTTATTTAGCTACAAAGAAATCGGCACAAAGTTTCTAATACAATCAAGTGCCGAATTACTTAGGAAGATAAAATATAATCCAATTGTAAATCTTTCTATTTTATTTGCGTTGATAAAAAACGAATGAATATAACACGAAATACCTACTAATAACCAAAGATTATTTATGTACTTGTGGCGGCAGCTAACACAAGATATTATTATTTGAAAGATGCCCGAATCTCGCTTACGACATTTTCAAGATAAGCTTGCTTAGATATAAGTTCCTAACAATAACATTTGGACTGTCAGTGTATCGAGGAATATCACCCGCTCGGTAAAAGATTTTCTCAGTCTTTATACCTCCACATATTACTTAACAATTTCTTTATAAATTGTTCGAATTTTTCTTTTTCAGAATCTCCCTATAATTCGGGAAACCTTTTCAGCTGTTTATCAACGGATAGGGTTTTTGCTACACCTTCTAGAACTTCAGAGGAGTCTGAACCTCGATCAGGATGCCTGAATTAGTGGAGCAGATGTACTGCTCGGAGCAGATTGTGATTCCACCAAAATTTCCTTACATCCTGAAAAGATACTGCAAAGGTAAAGGCAGCAATGTATTTTGGTTCGAAGAGCGGGGTAGGCATTGGACTGTAAAAGTGAGACTTGGAACTCGTCTTTCAAGATGGGTCATTACCACTAAATAACCACTAGGCTCCAAGTGGGCCTTGACTTCATCAACCCATGAAGGCAATAAAAAAACCACTCGATATATCATATCCAATACACACTAACATGCACGCACACGCACACACACACGCACACGCGCACGCGCACACACACACACACACACACACACACACACACACACCAAAACACACACGCACACACACGCGCGCACACACACACAAACACCACTCGATATAATAATATACTCAGATTGTTACTACTTTACCTACCGATGTTTCCAGCGGCTATAAAAACTCAACCCTACGACCTGCTTCGTTGGTCCTACGAGTACTTTAATGCTCTGGCTCAGCACCGCCCTCCTCCGGTCAAACTGAGGCTTGAGTATCCCGTGTTCACAACCGAGGGAGGCCTCACACGAGGATGCTTGAAGGTCCTCTCTAATCAGGTATTTTTAATGCACCAGTTGAGTTGGGAGAGTGATTTAGACCCATAATATAAGCGCGTTTAAAACCTTTTTATTGAGATGTCCTTACTGCATCTTGGGAGTCGTGATTTGCCNGTAACAAATAACATTAAGGCTTATTGCGCCGGAAGCTGTCAAGCGGAAGGCGCCAATAAAATATTATAAGTATAAAGAAAATATGAATGAACTATTTACTTGATTATGAAATTACTAATTATATTATAAGAATAATAAGTTCTATATATTTCCTAAGTTCGTAAATAATTTATTATGTGAGGCCGGAAGTGTTGCTCGATAACACTACCGATGTTTTCAGCGGCTATAAAAACTCAACCCTACGACCTGCTTCGTTGGTCCTACGAGTACTTCAATGCTCTGGCTCAGCACCGCCCTCCTCCGGTCAAACTGAGGCTTGAGTATCCCGTGTTCACAACCGAGGGAGGCCTCACACGAGGATGCTTGAAGGTCCTCTCTAATCAGGTATGTGTAATGCACCCGTTGAGTTGGGAGAGTGATTTAGACCGATAATATAAGCGCGTTTAAAACCTTTTTATTGCGCCTACTGCATCTTGGGAGTCGTGATTTTACCCCCCTACCTAATCGCTGGTAGTGTAAGGCTTCCCGCGCACTAGGCGGGGACATATTTGAGCAGCCAGTTATAGCAGCCAATCGAAGCCAATTTATGATCTATTCGTCGAGCGATTTGGACTTTATCTCGTAAAAAACGCAAAGCAAAGACACTGGATTCATCCACTTTTTCTAGAACGGCATTCAAAAGGCTTATTCTATAACTATTTTAAAGATGTTCATACATACCCAGACCGGTTTTTTTAAATACAAGAGATTGTACAAGCGTGCTGTGTCATATAATTAAGATTTGGCAAAACGAATATGCATTGGCCGCTACAGCAAGTGCACGGAGACTGACAGGAGCCACATACATATATACACATACACAGGCTTACTATAGTATGTCAGAATATTTAGACGATAACTTTAGATAATTTAGATAATAAAGTAGATTAGAGTTCAATAATTATAATTTAAGTTATTTTTATTTTTATGTAGATTATACTTACACCTAATATTTGTACGCTTTACTAGCAGGACATAGTGATACATTTATTAATATTAACTTATTAATCTTTGTTAACCTATGACCACAAATAATAAATAAATAATTAATAAATAAATACATTCGCCAACACTCGCTCTGGTTACCGTGCAACAGGCGCGTTGTATTGGCTGCCGCAGCCAAGAGTTCCGGGCTCCCATACAACGCCATATATTCATCTGGCTGCCTAGTACGCGGGGAGTCTATGGGGCTATTCCAACTATGCTCAAACAGGAGTAGTGAACTTGTGTACAGCTTAAAACAACAAACAGAGGAGCTTGCAAACATGTGAAGTTATGGCTTGTTGCATTTATAATATGGTTCGGTACTTATCTTACTTTAACTCGATTCTGGTGTTTGCTGCTCTATGAGGGTGGCCCCTACAAGTGATGTGGATTGCAGGATTTGAGCACCAACCTCAGATTAGATCTAAAGACGAATTTTAATCATGTATCATTCAAACGAGGCTTGTGGATAGTACTTAATGGTAGGCAGCGGTTTGGCTCTGCGCCTGGCATTGCTAATGTTCATGGGCAATAAAAAAAAGTTTTGGAACGAAGTTCCTTATAGGCCGATGCGGATGGGTACCCTAACCGGGAAAAAACGTCCGTAACGTAAGATTTTTATTAGTAATGCACACAGTGTACGACTTAACTTTGTAATTACATACAAATTAGTAAAGCACATAGTGTACGATTTAACTTTGTAATAGCGTACAAAAAATAACATATTTTTATCATTCATTGACCACGATCTCAGAGCGTCCGTTTGCGCAATACACTAACTCTTATGCAAAAAACCGTGAATGAAGTGTACCACAATAAGTTCGCACGTTACCGAATGACCATGGGTTGTTGCGAAACCTCCAGTTTTAATTTCTTTATACCTCGAATAGAACTTTAAATTAATATTTTTATCATAAGGAACTTCGTTCCTATCCGGTGTCCCACGACACCACACATCTTTTTATTTATTGAAACTAGTGGTCCCGCAGTAGTCGAAATACGACTATAATTAATTGAAATTATAAGTTTCAATATTATTATGGTCCTATTGTTACAGATTTCGCCAAGACTACACTATAGACAAATACTCGTAATATTAAAGATAAACAATACTAACCTATTCTCAATTTGACTACAGACTTTAATCTGGACTTTAAGTAATAACAAAAGTTAGACAATAAACAAAGAGTATATGTGTGTGTGTGTGTGTCAAATACATGGTAGTGTGTGTAATGTTTTCTTTATTGATTTAATGTATCTTTTATGCATTATTTAAAAAAAATATTAGCATTGTGCACTTCTTCTCGATATTCTCTATAAGTGTGGAAATTTCATACTCCTCTGTCCGCGCAATTTTCGTAAAAAGGGATACAAAGTTTTTGCTTCACGTATTAATATACAGATGAAATAAGAAATCAATGATTTTAGTTGTCAACAATGAACGAACTGTCTCTCAATGTTGTGGAAACCGCATGGCAGGGGTTCTGCCTTGATCCTCAGGAGTTGGCCAGGATCTTGTGTCTATGCGAAGTTCATAAGAGAAAGGAAAGCGTGCCCTATCTCCATTTCATGGCTGTAGCTGGTGGTCTACTTACTAAGGTAATAAGTACACGGAGAATCGATCCTGCTCTTTAAGGCGAATTTTTTTACGTTCATTTTTCAGCGCGCAATGTAATGAACATGTGGCGACTCACTTACTCGCCACTACTTGGGCAACCGCCTTACAATTCAACAAAATCGCTGTCGCCTATCAATTCAGGCAATCATCTATTATTGTTGTTCAACACTTCGGAATCTTAAGAAACTGCGGGCAGTACATATCGATATTTGCTGTGCTACCCATCGTTCGTGTCAGTGCCGTACTACTCCTATATGTTATTTCTTTATCGTACCACTCTTGTTATAGTTTGTTTGTGTACACATACTTATCTTCAATAAACTATTCCAAGCAGTACATATTCATACTCACTGGGTAAACCATTCTTCGTGTCCGCGCTTACCTAATACAGTTAGAAGCAGAACTACTACAACTACTTCTACAGTGGTACTTCTACAAACACAATTACACAAGTCAACGACATGACACAAGGAAGCTGCATTACCTACCGAAATATTAGCCAACTTTGCTTGCTAGAGATATTACTGGTGGTAGGACCTCTTGTGAGTCGACACGGGTACCACCACCCCGCCCATTTCTGCCGTGAAGCAGTAATGCGTATCAGTTTGAAGGGTGGGGCAGCCGTTGTACTATACTGAGACCTTAGAACTCATACCTCAAGGTGAGTGGCGCATTTACGTTGTAGATGTTTATGGGCTCCAGTAACCACTTAATATCAGGTGGGCTGAGAGCTCGTCCACCCATCTCTTGCCCTTCTCCCAGTCACCTTGGGTCGGCGCAACATGTTTTCTCCTTCAATACTTCTCTATCATATACCATTTCTTCGCTCATATTTGGTATTGTTATGATTCTCCTGCTCTTCCCCAGTCACCTGCAGTCGGCGGAACATGTTTTCTCCTTCCATACTCCTCTATCATATACCATTTCTTCGCTTATGTTTGGTATTGGTATCATTCTCCTGCCCTTCTCCCAGTCACCTACAGTCGATTCAACATGTTTTCTCCTTCCTTACTCCTCTATCTTATACCATTTTTTCTTTGGACAATTTAAAATCATCAATAATGTAATTTTCCTGTTACTCACTGAAACAGAGCCTTACAAACACAATGGTACTGCTATGTGAAGCCCTAACGAAGGAACCGGACGGTGCTTCCGCTGCGATACCGGTTAAAGACTTCATATTGATGTACAAGTTCTTGGCGGCAATAGATGCTTCACGCGACGTGAAATATTACAACGGATACAGAGAAGGTAGGTGTTTCATTTGGCCAGGCCGATCTTCGGTCATACCACTACCGACGATTGCTTCGTGGCTGAAATAGACAGGTCAGAGGTGCTGATCCGTGTGGACTAACGACGTTTTTGGAGTTGCGCAAATGTGGTGATTTTGTTGGTTTTTGTGTTTTTCTAGTTTCTAATGTGAAGAACTTCCATCGAACTAGTTTCTCTGTTCGGTAGATTAAATGTTCTTGTGAGTCCGCGCGGATAGGTACCAGCCACTACTCCGCCTATTTCTGTCGTGAAACAGTCATGCGTTTCAGTTTGAAGGGTGGGACAGCCGCTGTAACTATACTTGAGACCTTAGAACTTACATCTCAAGGTGGGTGGCGCATTTACGTTGTAGATGTCTATGGGATCCAGTAACCCTTAACACCAGGTGGGCTGTGAGCTTGTTCACCCATCTAAACAATAAAAAAAACATTACAAAAAAGATTATCTGCAGACTTTAGAATGGTCCTATTTGCGCTATAGATGTCATTACATCTGATGCTGCTCTTTTTTTTTATTGCCTTTGTAGGCGTACACAAGCATACGGCCCACCTGATGGTGAGTGATTACCGTCGCCCCTGGACGTCGGCAAAGCCAAGGGCAGAGCTAAGCCGCTGCCTATCGTTAAGTACTCCACAAGCCTCGTTTGAAGAAGGACATGTCATAGCGCTCGGGAAACACCGTGGAGGGGAGCTCATTCCAAAGCCGGATGGTACGTGGCAAAGAAGATCTCTGGAAACGCACTGTGGTTGAACGCAGTGGTTCTAGGTACTAGTACGAATGAAGTATATTCGGTGGTGGGCGGTGTGATGGTAAAAACTTGGTAGTCTTAAACTTTTGTTTTGGTAATTTTGAACTATAACAGGTCATGTCCCTGAATCCGACATCGAGCCAGAAGAAGAAACACAGAACTTTGAAGAAGAAGAAGAAGAAGACGTGAGTTTAGTTTGAGCACTATTAGGGTTGTTGCCTTTCTACTGCATTCTCACGCAAAACATTTATAATTTAGAGTTTCTGGTCTTTCGTGTTCTGCTAAGATTGAAATCCCAAAATTTAAGACCAGATACCAAAGTTGGTGTAAAAGAATATGCACCCAATACAGAGGAATACAAGGACGAAGGGGAAAAAAATAACTAGCAGAAATCATCAAGTTTGCGGCGTTTGCGCGTAATTACTCGTTCCATTGTGATGCTGCTTATAGGTTCTGCTCGGCTGCCCATTTCTGCGGTTCTGATGTTTCGTTTAGAAAAGACAAAACAATAGTTGAGAGTCCGCACTCATGATCCAAAGGTAGTGTTCATACTGTTCACTATGGCCTATTAATGGCTATCAATCTATCTATCAGCTCACAGATATCCACAGCTGGACATAGATCTGGACGTAGTTCTCCACCGAAACTCACAACAACGACCGATCTTGCGCTTCTGCATCAACTTTTGCTTTTATATCATTTGTTTTTATTGCTTAGTTGGGCGGATGAACACACGGCCCACCTGATGTTAAGTTCTTACCCGAGCTCATAGACATCTACAACGTAAGTGCCGCCTTCTACCTTGAGATATCAGTTCTAAGGTCTCACGTTTAACAGTATAACGGCTGTTTCGACCTTTAAGCCGAAACGCATTACAGCTTCACGGCAAAAATAGGCAGAGTGTTTGGTACCTACCCGTGCGGACTCACGAAACGTCCTACCAGCAGTAAACATTTTAGGCATGCACATATTCTTTTATAGATGCTTCAAATTGCTTGGCATCCACGTTACGCTTTTGAGTTCCCCCGCGATGTTTCCGCAGCGTAATGATACCCTTCCTTAACTGTGACCCTGGTATTGATGATGTCCAATGTCCGAATAGAGCCACATAAATACCACCACGCGTCTTATGCAGACAAGCCAGAAATTTCGCAAGGCTGATCTTATTGCTGTCTTTATTGCTTCATCTTCTAGTCCCACGCTTAAACTCCTTAGGGTGTCTCAGACGATTACTGGCCAGATGAAAAGAACTTACAAATGTTGCCATTGATCAATGATAAAGTGTCGCGCACGACGCGATTGAGCCTGAAGCTAAATATGCCGATAATTGGGAAAATCGAACGGTCGCCTTCCGTCGAACGAGCTGAAACGATTGAGAGGGAAAATTATATGAGAGAGAGAAAAGGTTATTTTGATTTTGTAAATAGTACCTACTTGACGCGAGGATTGCCATTAATACCTTTTTTTTGTTATAGTTAAAGGTACCCTATATCCCTGTACCTTTAGCAATGTGTATGCCAAAATTTCATGACCAATTAGCTAAGACGTGAAATTATAACAGACATATTCACTTTCGCCTTTATTATAATACATTTATGGATCATAATCCACAGAGGTCTATAGAGCGTGAATGTTGATGACTGTGCTACGGTGTTCGAATGAATTGTTCTGTTATGATGAACTTATTATCATCATCACAATAATCCAATTTAAGGATCGCCACAATACATCATCAATGTAATTTTGTAACTACTCTCAATAGCCAAACGAGCTAATTGCCAATCTAGCATTGCGCGGTTCACAGATATAGTCATCTCATCACCTTCCCCCTTCAGATATAAGGTCGAAATCTTCACTGCAACGGCAGTCCCACATATGACTGTTTCGCACTGGAAATAGACAGGATATTTGTACCTAACAGTGCGGTCTCACAATATCTCCTGCAATTTGAATTAAAATGAAACCAAATCGGTGAAATTACAAGTATAATGATTTAGCTCAGAACTGTATAGACAAACAAGCTCTCGCTGAGACATTCTCCGTCTAATTCAGTAAAACTCACTATATTTCATGTCGTGTTAAATTTTAAGGCATAACTTTTTGTACAATATTTTAAAAACAATTCCAGGTAGACCTGTACCGAATGAAGATATAGAAGTTAGTTATGTTCTATTCACATTTAACATCATTTATCTCTCTCGGTTCAAAGTTCTTGATCTCAAATTGATATGGAATTGGAATTCCCAAAGCATTGGGTTAGTCTAGTCTAGAACAGTGGAGCAGATTACATCTATACTTCCTAGAACTACTGAGTTCATTGATGCCACTAGGCTTTATTGTTTTGACGTAGCTTCCGGCTCAGAAATGAAAGGCCCTGATAAGTCCTTCTTTCATTGGATCTCCAACTGTGTTCGTTAAAAGCATATCTAGTTCAAGATAACGCCCTTATGCAATAATCAACTATCCTAGCGCCTTCTATTAAGCGCGTAGTCAAAATGGAATAGGTACAAATGCAATAGGCTTGTTCAGTGGAAGTGCTGATACGGGCCACCCCTAATACCCTGCATCATAGATAAAACCGCCTCTGGATTGGCATTTGCTGGTGGTCATGATCGCTGATCCTGTTTCACTGGAGTATTTTATTATGGTCTTGATGGTCAGAGCTCTGGTATTGGCATTGCTGGTGATGATGACCCGAACGGACTTCAATAGAGACTTTAATTTTGGTCTCGACGTTCAGAACCGTCGAATATTAATAAGTAAATCTATGTTCTCTCAGCTAAGAATCCGCACTATTCTGTTGTCATATTCTACAGCTGTCGCGCGGATGAATTTAAAGCAATTAACGTTATTGAAACTTTTCCAGTTTGTTCTTGGATTTAAAGATTGATATTTATATAAGCAGTTTCGTATTTTAAAACTATGCATGGTCCTCATGATTCTCGGTAGTTAGAGCTCTTTGTGTGTCTTGATCTCCACCAGAAATCGGGTCTTGCATAGTTGGCTGTGGTTCATACCTTTTCGGACACGCTTCCTAGGTCTAGTTATTAAAACAAATATTTATTTGCAGAAGAAACTGCGCGAAATGAGCTCTGCGAAGCTTAATCAAGATGCGCAGAAGGAAGGTGAGTTGATGTTCTTGGTTTAATACGACCCTATGTACTGAGCTTTTAGGAAGTAAGAAACTTTCGCATAGGACCAAACCAATTAACGGCGATAGATCCCTATAACTATATAAGTAGGACCTTGGAGAATACCGTCGCAGACTCAAATACATTGGAAATTGGGGCTTATTAAAGCTGGAACCAGATACTTTCAGAAGCATTCTGGTCTATTCCAATTGAATTGGTTACCAACAATGACTTTGAATGATCATCCAATACAGTATCAAAATAATACCTATGTTGATTCCTACATTGGCTCAGTTTTAGGTGTCTTTGTATGATGTACTATCAGTTTGAAGCAACGACCATTTTGAAAGAATATACTTACAAATAATTCCTTATTGGGCTTACGTATGTAAGTCCTTCGTACACAAAAGGAAGTTTCTAGTAGCAATCCCCATAAATTACTACATTGAAGTCTCATGAGGGTTTTCGCTCGAAGCATCAGAGGAAAGCCCTAGAAATCTTCGCAATTTAAATACCTCTATTTGTTCTTTTTTTTTTCTAACAGCCCTAGAGATTATAACGGTCAAAACTAAACTTAATGAATTTCAGAATCTTGATAAAAACATGTTTAATGTAGATACACAGAAACAGAAGGACACGATACCAGAATCAAACGAATTAAAAGTCATTGTTATTGATGAAGAAGGAAACGAGATACCATTCGAGATATATGGTTACGATGTTGCAATTAACTCGTAGATTTTGTAATGGTTAGATTCAGACACTACACATTTTTAGTGAGAATTGAAAAAAAAAATACCATGACTTATATCAATTTCTAGATCTCATTCGCTCTGTGATAAAAAAATGCTAAATCGAGTTAGTTCTCATGTACAGTAAAAGCTCCTTTTTTGAGTTTTCATTATTCGCCCAAAATTGCGACTGAATTCCTATAGTCGCGACTTTATTCGCGGACCAACAGAATATCCTTTGTAAGCGCTCTTACATTCAGGGTTTTTGTATTCGCGGCGTATTCACCGAACTTATCCCGCGTATAAAGAGCCTTTACTGTAGCTTATTTATATATTTTATTTGTAGACACATTGAATATACATACATATATTGTAGAAATGAATTATAAAATTATTATTAATTAACATATAATTATAAAATTAGCATTTATGGAATGATAAAATAAATAGTGTATTACAAATTAGTGTAGTACAATAATGTAAAATAAATTCTTTAAGTTTTTAACGGGTAGTGAGTCCGCATGGATAGATACCAACATCCAGCTTATTTCTGTCGTGAAGCAGTCATTCGTTCTAGTTCGAAGGGTTGGACAACTGGCAATATAATCGAGACATGAACCTCGTGTTTTAGCATGGACGTAGACATTGACGTTGTCATCGTCATCATTACCATCATCATCTATGGACTGCTGTAACCACTGGGTAGTGGCACTCGTTCATTTATGCAAGAAAGACTTCAATCTGGTCAGAGTGATCCCAACTATCGAGCAATTATATAATATATTATTAATCGCATAAGATTAATTGAGTAGCTTACTGCTTGCAGCAGATTTACGGCATCAATCTCAGGAGTCGGCACACGAGTTTATCTTCCCTCTGTGCAGCCCTAGACTCTATTTATTTCGGGATATTGTATAAATAAAGGTTCATCCTTGAATTTCGTTGGTGGATATCCAAAGAAATTTCGTTTATTAAATTTGTTTGTATATGCCCAACAATTATAAACGTAAATCCCTTTTGGAGAATACCCTAGTTCTTTTTACCTATTTTAAAGAATCTACTTCTAGGACTTAGGTCATTTATTCCAACCAATCAAATGTTCAAATTTGATAATATTATGGATTATTCATAAAAACAAACCAATTAACGATACAGGGGAGCCAAATGTAGAACCAATTGATTCTGATGAAGATATTGCTGAAGAAATTCTCGATGAGCAACCGACAGAGGAAGAACCTAAAGAGAGCGAAAACGATAAAATCGCATTATTCGTTGCTGAAGTAATTTTAATTGGGCATTTGTAATGTTTTCATTGTAGCTCTAAATTATTATTATTAGATTTTGATGTTGATGATTTTTGGTTTATATTTCGCAAATGTTGTAGATTTCATTTGGAGCCTTAATTTTGATTATTAAGTACAGTTCCTTAGTCTTAGACTTAAGAGTAGGTTTGGCTTTCTGATGTCGGCGTAGAATGCCATCAGCGATCTCTTCCCATAGCCCATCTTCTCATCACCTGTAACACATGAGGTATCCACTGGGGTATAATGGCTCGTGATATGGCCTTTAGCATATAGAGATTTTATATTATAGCAGTCTTACGAATTACTGATTGTTTATTGGACATGTACTATCGCCTAACCAATTTTCCATGTAATTCAGTCATGCATCTCGGTTCGAAGGCTCTGGCAGTCTTTATATTAGACAAATGAAATTTCGACATTATATCTCGAGATAGGAGACGGCGTGGTTTAAAAAAAAATGGCATCTTCCATGATGCCATTAAAAGCTAAACCCAATTCTTTACGCTAATGTGGATATCGAATGACCTATTAAATTATTATTAGAATTATAGTGTTCTCCTCCCAGACCCGCAATTCGGGGTTGAAATAAGGGATTTATTTGAAGTACATTTACGTGTTAATTTGGTATTTATTATTGTTATTGTAGTTTGAATAGCTTGTAGTACTAATGAAATATAGAAAGTACTTTAAAAAAATTGGGGTTATATGTTCGCGATTTATTCAATTCATTTTTGTTTTTCCTTACCTATTTTCTGGTACCCTAAGAGGCTACTCCAGCTACGCCCGGACGGGTAGGTGAGCTCACGGGCTCAACCTGAGAGAATTTGCTAATACTAGCCCTAGCAAGAGCAGTGCTTCGCAGAATCTACCACCGGATCGGAATTGCGACCCACTGAGAAGACCCGGCGTCAATTCTTAGTTGTGAATTTACCTTTCCTGCCTTCATCATCATCACGTTGTGTGTATTTCAAATTCAGGTTAAAGTATTTCGATGATTTCAAGAAAACAGATAGCAGTAGTTTTCTGACATCCTTGAGCGATGATGTTCGCTAATTCAAAATCATTTAATTTTATGTTGCTATTTAATGTGTACAGAATTTTTGTATTTTGGGATTAAAGTATTTTTATTTATAATAATTATATTCCATCACAGAGTTATCAGGCTCGCGAAGAGCGCTTACAAGATTTGGAAAGAACCTTTGACGAGATCAAAGCGATCGTGGCAAGATTTAAAGCTGCAAATTATGATCTGGGTTAGATCGATGATTCCTTCTGTCGGATTCGTATCTCGAAGGTTCAAAGTTCAAAAGATGTGGTCTAAAAACAGGAATGGTGGCCGGACGCCAAATGTCGACTACAAGTGGGGAGTTCATCGTGCAACACGTGGAGAAGGAGATCATGGAGTACATAGATGAGCAGATCGCCGTTCTCCCTGATCCGGACCTCAAGAAAAAGAAGGTAAGAGAGTCTTGAAAACATCTGTCAGAGAGAGAGTGTACATTTTTATCTGTACTTTATTGGAAACTGAATAGGGAATAAATTTGAAAGGCTTTGTCTTGTGACATACAGCANGGGGAGTTCATCGTGCAACACGTGGAGAAGGAGATCATGGAGTACATAGATGAGCAGATCGCCGTTCTCCCTGATCCGGACCTCAAGAAAAAGAAGGTAAGAGAGTCTTGAAAACATCTGTCAGAGAGAGAGTGTACATTTTTATCTGTACTTTATTGGAAACTGAATAGGGAATAAATTTGAAAGGCTTTGTCTTGTGACATACAGCATTGAAATGAGATGTAATAGGGTGTAGCAATTAATATTTCAAAGATTAGAAGGATCAATGGAAATATATTATCATCTCTCTCCCTCGCGTACATCGTGACAGTGTGACGTATTTTACCATTAGGCTCACTTAGCCTAAGTTGGCCAACTTAGTTTCCTCCTAACGGTCATAACCGTCTTACTAATAGTTCTCCCCCAAAATATAGTTAAGACTTTTGCCAGATGCATATGACCAACTTATTTAATGCTGTTTTTATTTGATATCGTGTGAATTATTCACTTTTCATCAAGGCTAAACCAGAGGAAGTCGAAATGCTGCGTGGTCTACTCGATGCTTTTATTGATGAGACCATGGAGATCCTGGCTCCCGAAGTCGAAGAAGCGGAGGAAGAGGAACAGCCTGTGCCCGAAGTGAGTTTTTCCACTAGGTACCCTGGGATTTATGATCTGCTAAACTTTAGAAATGATGGTCATTGCGCAGCCCAAACTGGCATCTGATTTCTAATGAATCAAATTGTAATAAATATCTATTGGCATTAATCAGCCTACGTCATTAGAGGCAATAGAGACGCCTAAAAACTCGTACAAGGTTCTCTTCTATGAACAATACGAGGGTAGCTCCAATATTGTCGATGTTCATTAACCCATCCCAATCAAAGAGTTCATATACTAGTTTCCTTATGAATACCGTAAATATAGTAATAAGAGACAGTTAGAAATTCATCGCCAACATAATTTCCACTGTGGCAAACCAAATAATTTTTAAAGACTCAAAACTGAAGTAAGTTCATCTTTGTTACAATAGACTTTTGATCTCGCTTCGAACTAAGGTTCCGAATGTGGTTATGGACCGAGAAAAAAGCTCAAAGCCTTTGGAGTAAATTTGGGAGTCGCTACTTTGTACCGTGGTTGTACCGTTTGTGGAGTAATTCCCCCAGGGAGGTGGTTAAATTGTAAGAAAGTTCCTATATAAATATGTCCTGATACATTTTTACCAATAACCATTACACCTGTATGATACAGGTAATAGTTGTGTATGCTGTCCCCGGAATCGGCGGGCCAGTCGACGAAGCGACCATCAATGACTTTATCGATTACGCCCTGGACGTTTCCAAAGTCCAGAATGACCTGTTCATGCCGAGGAACGTGAGGCATTTCTTGTGCCCGCCTTTGGAGAAGTGAGTTGGGCAAAATTGGAATTCGATTTTTGATTGGTTTGGTACATTTAGTTGGTTCGAATAATTACTTGAGCTAGTGCCGGATAGAGACAACGCTGGGCTTGTAGCAAATCCGAGCAGCGATACCTTAAATTACATGAAATTGGTCAACTAGTCTCTCGGTGATCACGCGGCTTGCATTTTTTTATTTATTGCATAATTGGCTGGACTAGCTCACGGCCTACCTGGTGTGAAGTGGCTGCCGGAATCCTTAGATATCCACAACGTAAATGCCGCCACCCACGTTAAGATATGAGTTCTAAGGTCTCATTACAGTACAACTTACTAGTAACAGTACTTCTAGTGAAAGATCATATCGATGATATTTGATTAGGGAATAAGAAATTACAAAAATATGGTTATCTCCTACGAATAAATAATAAGTGCTATCTCGCATCACGAGGAAATCTATGAACTATTAAGTCCTTTTTGTATGCTTTTTATATCCGTGCATAGAACAAGTGTGCCCAATATGATGAATGTAAATAACAATTCTGGCAAAACTTTCGCGTTATGTAAAAGCTGCGTGTGAGTGCACCGGTCGTCGTGCTCGTCGAACCAGTCACTTGCGATGAAGGGCTCGGCAAGTAAATTAACCCATAGATACAGCCCACTGAGTTTCTTGCCCGATCTTCTCAGTGGGTCACGTTTCCGATCCGGTGGTAGATTCTGCGAAGCACTGCTCTTGCCAGGGCCAGTTTTAGCAATACTCCCGGTTTGAGCCCCGTGAGCTTACCTACACGTCAAGGAGATGCTGAAATAGTCTCTCAAGGCTATCAGCGTAGGTAAGAATAAAAAGAGAAAAAAAGTGTGAGTGCGCAAACTAGGCCGAATCGGGGGCCAAGATCCCTGCAGCTAGTCTTCACAAATACATTCGTCTTCTAACTGTAAGGTCTTTGAAACTGGTCTGCAAAGCTTTCTTAAGTACTTTATACAGAGCTGGGAATGTTTTTTTTTAATGTCAGATTCAAGGACATGAAGTATGATACGAAATCGGAGAAAGAAGAAATACCGACTGGTGGAGTTTTCACGGATTAGATTTTTATTGAATAGATTTAAATCATAATCATGTTATTTGTTTTTTGGTTAGTTGCATTTAATGTTTCTATTGTTGAATAAATTTGATTTGAATTTACTTTTGTGTTTTTTTTGTGATCTCTACGCTGTTACGTGTAGACTCGCAGCTTACATTATATAGTCGTCGTGAACACGCGTTGAGTACGTATTTCATAAGGAAATTTTGTTCCTGCCTCTGGGATTCAAACATCGGCACAGTCGATACGAGACATATGAGTAAAAGGACCGTCTTATCTGCGATCATCGAGCGATTTGAGTACTGAAATATCCACTTAGGAAACAGTCGACCATGTACCAGCTATATTAGGTCGATCGATGTTCAACCAAACGGAAATACCGTTCTATTTACAAATCGGTTAGTGTAGGTATTATAATATGGTTTTCAATTTAAAAAATAATACAATACAAAAACTTTATAATGGTTTTTATTAATATCCAGAATAATAAATGAATCCGTGCGGATTAGCGAATCGTACGAGTTCGCTTCGAGAGCATTTTGTGATCGGAACCATTTAGTGGTGATACAGCATGAGTAGGATATTTCAAATTCATAAGTGCATTGTTTTCTGTCAATTAATCCAAATAAGAATTCGAATATTGCAGCAAAGAGCGTAAGATACCGAAGGAGCAGGGCATTTATTAAACTATTAATAATCTCACTCGTTTCGCCCCAATTAAAAAAAAAATAAGCCTCTATTTACATTTTTTACCTGTTCAATAAAATTCTAGAAGGATTCAATTTAACATCGATTTGCTTTACTCTATGTATCACGATGCTTTTGTCCTTTAAAACAAGATGGATGCCGAAAATCAAAATACTTCCGAACGAACTCCATTTATCCATTTCTAATATTTCATTCTATGTCACCGCTTAAATATCTGAAACACGCCCGTTGGCTGAAAAGCAAAATCAACTTGGCAAACGCACTTTTGCGGCTTTTGAAATTACTAAGGAACTCGCATTTAGACAGTAAATATATATATAGATTTATAGTATCTTTTACAAAAATGAGTCTGATATATCTTAATAACAGAGGCTAACAACCCTATAACGTTAACATCTCAATTCGTTTTAATGTATATACGTATATACACTACAGATAGATATAGTGATCATTAGGACGAGATTTCTTTATCTAAAGTTAGAGTCTTGAGACCCTAAAAAAAGCCAAATAACCACACATAGCAAAACCACTACGTAGTTTATAATTTAAATTTAATGACATTCAGAAAATTCGCTACAGATATTTTGTGCAAAAAATGTCTGAATTGAAGTGTAATGGCAAGACTATTTCAATCCAAAAAACGGTAAAAAGTTTTATGAAATGACCAGAAATATGGATATCAGAAAATCAGTTGTTGGCTTCTTAAGCAATAATCTAATAATCGTTTTTTTTTTTATGTTAACATATCCCAATACAATTGGTCGATGAACAATGGTATATTATGTATAATGTAGTAATCATATGTATTTAATAGTGTCTTACAAATTTTAATGTATCAATACAAACTAGTTTTTTTTTTTTAATTCTTAAGTATATTTCAAAAACCGCAAACTTAATTTCATCGCTACATACAGTATTATTTAGGTAACCATTCATTTTGAATCAATCGAAATTTATCATTGTATATAGCAATTAAATAAAGTATTCATTTTAGAAAATTAATCAAGAATTAAAGACATCTAAAGTAAAAATTAAAACAGCAAACAACATATAATGGCAGAAATATATTTGGATTCAACTTTGGGTAACTCAATATTTTACACAATAAATACACACAAACAACTTCTTCCTTCAACTACCTTAATTGTTTAATTAAATAAATAAAACATAGGTAAAAACGAAATGAAAAAAAACTTTACAAGCCCGCTAAAATAACAAAAACTGTGTTTTCTTCAAAATTTACATATATTTATACTTACAAGCAAAAACAAATGCCCAGTGAAATTAGTAATCTACATATACGTTTTTACAGGTATATATTCAATAAAAATTTCAATTTTTCCGTCAAACATTATTCGATCACTGACACCGCTAATTTAAAAAAACCATCTTAAAGCAACCATTAGTATATCATCTAGGTAAAACATTTGACCAGAATAAAACAAGTTTGCTAATTGACCATTTGTTACACAAACAAGTAACAAAGAAAACCAAATGACTGTCATTTTTAAATGGCCATATAAACTTACTTGGGAAATTGGGCTTTATAGTTAACTTTACAAGCAGATTGGCAACTGATGAAACTCAAAATCTGAATCTACGTTTCTCAAGAAAGTGAAACATCTTAAAAGGCAATAGCTGGGTGTCACCAAGTGTTATTTTATTCAATTTCTGATCGTGTGTGCTTTGTTCTGGTATATTACGGTCAACATGCAAACTAAAATAACCGAAAAACAATGCAATTTCGAACTGAAATTTCTGGTCAAAATGTTCACATGAGAAATCACATCTCCTTCCCGGAATTGAATTTTTACATTAATGATAAAAATAAATTAACCCAACCCACGAAAAAGCACAGAATGGACTTTTGACACAATACTCGATAACATCCAACCCAAGAAATATAAACAAAATTAGGAATGAAATTGAAGAATTTTGATCGTCAAAGCTTTATTGAAACTTGGTCTATTTTTATATACTTGAAAACTTTAATTCTACAACCAAGCTTTCATGTACAAAATTAGCCATAGTAATTAATCCTAGATTCTCTCTCATAATGCATATCATAGCTTATATATGTAATTTTTCATTTGATATGAAAATTCAAATGCTGCGATTAAGGTGGTCAAAATTAAAATCCATTCTATGAAAATCTTCAATAATATCAAAGCGAGAGCGTCATAGTCTGTTAGACTTAATAATTAATTAATATTCTAACACTTAACTTGCAGTATGAACTTAGGCATTATTTAACAAGTACTCAGTGCAAGACTGAACCAACATTTCTGTTTTTTATTTTATTTATTTAAACTAGAAATCTAAGTGACTACAAAGAGAAAANTTAAAATCCATTCTATGAAAATCTTCAATAATATCAAAGCGAGAGCGTCATAGTCTGTTAGACTTAATAATTAATTAATATTCTAACACTTAACTTGCAGTATGAACTTAGGCATTATTTAACAAGTACTCAGTGCAAGACTGAACCAACATTTCTGTTTTTTATTTTATTTATTTAAACTAGAAATCTAAGTGACTACGAAGAGAAAACGTTGTAATAATAGATTTGTCATAATACGTTACAAGTTAGAAAAAAAAAACCTTCAGGAAAACAGTTTTGGTGAAACAGTTAATTAATAAATTTAGATTTTATAGAAGACAAGGAATACGCCCATAATTGATAGGACTTCAAATGAACATGTGAAAGTGATTTCGGAGAAAGTTTGGAAGCAATGAAATGATAGCATTAACCCTTTTTTTTTTTAAAAAAAAACCTTGGTCATTGGAATAGGTATCATTGAGATCAAATAAATTTTACACCAAATTTTTCATGATTATTTAATACTAAAAAACATGGATAATATGGGAAAATATGCTTTTAAAGTTTGTTTGGCATTTAAGACTAAGCAATCAGACTCAGAGTTATTTCCGATATTCTATATTATTTTGCAACGCCAGCGTTTAGTTTCGTAGCTTTAACACTTTCCAACAAAATATGACTAATTATATTTAAACATTATCAAGGAAGCGTAGTTGTAATTGTATGGAAAGTTTTTAAGTTTTCAACTCGTCGATAGGAAAAATGGAAGAGCAAATATTAAGGATCGAGGAAGTTAAATAAAGTTTAAAAAAACTCTAGTACGAAATGTATGATGAATAAATAGTTTAGGATAACGTATTTATGGAATGAATATAAATGTAACCTTGAATTATGGATTCATTCAATTCAATTTCATGATATAATTACAAAATCGTCTATATAAACCAAAAACGATTCGAATAATATTTAAACTTAAAATCCATATGTATATAACATACATAACTTGACACTGGTGATATTCGTATATTTTCCGAAACTATAAAAGTTATTGTTCAATTTACGATTGAGTTTTAAAAATGTAATTTTATCTGATAATAACCGTATGCAAGATTTACGTATTACGCAAAATATTTGACTTTTTTTTGACATTAACGTAGAGCTACAACGATTGTACGTTATGGTAGAATTTACCCGGAACTAAAAAATAGTAAATCTTTAAGCCTTTTGAAACATTTAAATGTGAATATGATATAATCCCCGAAGAACAAACGCAAAAAACTGTGATGTATAATATTTCTATCCCCAATTTGGGAAGCGCTTTCTTAAAAATTTTAATGTTTGTTTCATTTTTTAATTCATTACTGCAAAACTACATTCCTAGCCGCTACCTACCGCCTCACCACACCTTTTGTATATTATCAAAGTCTGCTATTCCTATCTTATAAAGTCGATCTCCACAATGATCTAGTGCGTGGAGAGGTTTCGCACGCATGCGTTTTTTAAAATAAGAAACCATGAAATAGAGTTAACATTGCTTAAAAACATTGTTTCCTTTTTGCTTGATACGAAATAGCAGACCCGAAAGAAAAAAGAACCTAAAAATTGTTATAACAATTGAAAACTTTCATTAAAACTTTAATCATTACTTGGATACCTATGCAATTCAATATACATTTTTTTTTTACTTTAAATATTATTTCTTTACAAAGTAGATGACTAGTGTGTATCTCTATATATTTTTTTGAGCTTTTCACGTTTTCGAGTCACGAATGTTGTTTAAGCGATCGAACTTCGGGACGTTTTCACGCAAAACAACACCATCCTCCAATTAATTTAACTAATTAATACAACAACGACAGTACCGAGTCAAGTTTCTTTGTCGGTCCGTCTGTGTACGCGAAGACGCACACAACCTCGTCAAGCTTTCACGAAGGTACAAAATGTGAAATAACTATTAATTACATTTACCGATCGATAACGGAACCTATAATAAATATTGTGAACAGCCTAGCGTTATGGAAATAATTATTGGATACAAATAACAAAGTAACATCGTTCTTGACGTTTCTATTCACACACAAAGGACGCAAGAAGCGAGACAAAAAAAAACACAGATTTCTCAACCCGTTTTTTCACGATTTCGCGATTAAAATATGTCTATTTTAACATCTCATAAGCCGTTTCGTTTATATTAATATCTCTATTGGTGTCACACATGACAACGACTTTTCTTGATTCTGCTTCGATAATTACTGTAAGAACATCAATTGCTTTAGCATTAATTGTACTTTGGGTTACATTTACTAAATGAACACCGTCCGAATTTTCGTGTCCATGATGGTAGGTATTGCTTGCTATATTTATAATAAACATACTGTCGTTTAATTGTCACACGAAAAGCCCAAAGACGGTTTCGCCGAACTTTTCAACTGCAATTTTTATGTACAGATTTTTTTCGAATCCTTTTTTATCCATTGTAGTGCGGACGTCAGCGCACGAGTGACGGACATCGTTCCGTTCAGTTTTAAAGCCTGAAACGTTCTCGTCTTGAGCATTGCACGCGGAATCAGTCATCGGTCTGAACTCTTCGAACCTGACGCACACCGGTCACACGTAGGTAGATTTGTAGCGATTACGGAAGCATTCCTAATATAAAAAATGGGCGCTGTCAGTTATTTAGTATATATACCGGCGTTGAGCATCAGGCTATGGCGAGGAGGCGGGCTGCGCGAGTCAGCAGGTCCACGATGCGCCGCCACAGTCCGCGCAGGACCTCCGAGCGGGAGAACAGGAATCTCCACATGAAGAACACGGCCACTACTTGAGTTAGTATATGGATTATGTGTAATCTGAAAGGATATGTTTTTATCAATACCAACTCTGCCATTACAGAAGGCACGTCGATCCATACCTTGCCTGTATCTATGGAGAAGCAGTAATGCGTTTCGGTTTGGGGTTGGGAGAGGGGTGGTTTACGGCCCTTTAGACTTTAGTTTTAAAACTAAGGCTATGGGTTCCGAGATTGACTTTGTGGCCTAAAGAATAAAACGCCCGGTGCTTCCGTATCAAGCGATACGACTTTACCGGTGTTCGAATCCCGCAGGCGGCTACCAATTTTTCTAATAAAATACGTACTTGATTCATGTTCACGAATGACTTCCACGGTAAAAAAATCCATCGTATAACAAATATCAAATCTAACAATTCGCATAATTATTATACAATAGATAGATAGACTTCAATTCTTAGAGTGGGTGGTGGCATTTACATTATCATACATACGGACCTCGGTAACTTTTTTTTTCATACCTAATCTGATAGCCTTGAGAGGCTATTTCAGCGTAACCTTAACTAGTAGGTGAGCTCACGTGGCCCAAACCTGACGACGATGCTAACACGAACCCTAGCATGAGCCGTGCTTCGCAGAATCTACCACCGGATCGGAAACGCGATCCAGTGTGAAGATCCGTCGAGAAACTCGGTGGGCTGTGTCTGTGGGTTAATTTACTCGTCGAGCCCTTCATCGCAAGCGACGGGTTCGGCGAGAACGATGACCGGTTCGGTAACCAATTCGGTCGTGGCTGAATAATGAATTCGGGTTCTGTCTCAGGACATCTGATCGCGATGACTGTAAACTTAACATACCGTTTCGCTTAACAATACGTACTGGATTAGACACAAGATATCGACAATACCTCTTCAATAGCGACCGGGACTTGGGCAGCGTCTCGGGGCTCTCTTTGAACAAGAACCTCCTGATCCCGAGCACGTAGGACTCGATGTAAGCGTCCCAGTCGATGTTCTTCACGTCGAAGTCGAAGGTCCTCCTGTCTTCGGGGGACAGGAGCAAGCAGAGCGCCTGCACGTTGTCGTCCGCAAACGACCACTGGCGCGTGGTGAAGTACTCCAGACAGGCGGCCGCCTTCTCCAACTTATTTTGAACCCTGACCATCCTGTAGTATAACAGTAGTATATCTAGTATGAGCCTGGCTATGAATTGATGCGGAATCCGCAGGTGTCACAACGTGAACGCCGCCACCAAATTCGGGAGATGAGTACCAGGTCTGATGATGCCTATCTCATGCTTTGAATTGGAGTATAATGGAATGATGTTGATAGAAGAACTTCATCTTCACTAATTACTTAAAAATACTTGGAAGATTAGCGACGGAAGATCTGGACCTGGATATGAATGTTATATAATTTGCCTAGCATTTGATCTCGGGGGGTTATACTAGATTCATCGAACGTGTAGGCGAGCTCATGGGGCTTAGCCTGACGAATTCGGTAACACTAGTAGGGACAATGCTTCGCAGAATCTACCACCGGATCGAAATCGCGACCCACTGAGAAGATCCGGCGAGAAACTCAGTGGGCTGTGTCTGTGAGCCGATTTTTACGACGAACCTTTCATCGCACTCAACAGGTTCGACGAGAACGGTGACTGGTACTTGGAATAGCCATAAGCACCCATAGTGATCGGGAGGATATGAAGTGACGTCGAATGTTGTTCGGAGCTTGTGTATATGTAAACTTATATTGAAAATGTCGTTAGCACGATTCAGATATCTGTCAAAAAAGCCTTGTGTTCTATGTTAGCTGTCCGCTACAAGTAAATCATGGCATCAGCTTACATGGGCTTGTTGCCAGTGGTCCTGGAGACCAGGTCCATGAGCACAGCCGGTGCCCGATGCTGCATCAGTGTCAGCACGTTGTGCTTCAGCCTGTTGCTGGTGATGTCGCCGCCAGGGTACCAAACTACTTCAGCTGAGAACAGATTTTAAAACTTTCATTGTCGTCCGGCACAAATTGTGAAAATTGAAATGTGATCATATAAATAAATATTTTAGGAATTTGTTTCTTTCCACTTTCAATATTGTTGTAAAGATAATTTATTTTGTCAACAACGGAAGATACTACTGAAGCATCCTTAACATTTTTGTATGTGCGTGTATGAATAGACCAGCTTACGGCTCATCTAGTTAAAGCTGTAGTCCATGGACCGTGGAAATTACAACGTGATTACCAAAAGCCAGCTTCAGACATGAGGTCCAAGTCCCAAATATTGAGTCTTTATTGACTCGACTTTTATCGGTTGCATGCCGAAGACTTCAAACTTAAAAACAATAGTATGTATTACGTGCGAATACCCTCACTGTATATACTGCCCTCAATGTAGCTAAAAATCTTAGCGCGATCGCATTTGCTTTACATTACTGGTTAGCGAAATTATAGCTTACATTGGTGTCGATGACAGATAGCGGACAGGGCTATAAACGCTGACAATGTCATTACGAGAATAGAATTTAAACCTATTTCTTAACTAGTCATTGAGGTAGTAAGTATGCAATCTGCCTTTTTTTTATGGCTTATGTTGGTGGATGAGCTCATGGACCCCTGGTTTTAAGTGGTTACCGGAGGCCATAGACATCTACAAACGCAAATTCCGTCACCACCTTGAGATATAAGTTCTTAGGTTTCAGCATAGTTACAACGGCTGCCCCGCTCTTCAAACCGAAACGCATTACTGCTTCACGGCAGAAATAGGCAGGGCGGTGGTACCTACCAGTGCGGACTCACAAAAGGTCTTACCACCAGTAATCACGCAAATTATAATTGCCGATAATGATGCGATCGCAAAGACGACTGAAACATTTGAAATAATTTCTTAGAACACTAGACGTAAACCGCATTAATAAACTATTTGTAACTGTAATTCTCTACATCAAAGTTTTGAATCATCTGAACTGAAACATTGATTTGAATGGTCCTCTTTGTTTTGGTAATTTTGAATAACTCACTCTTTATCCATTTACAGGAGTCATTAAGCTCAGACTTTTGCAAATGAATACAATCTCATATTGACGCACAATCACATGATCCCTTAATCATACATTGACCGAATTAGACGCTGGGAATTAAACTATAAATGAGCTTTTATAGTGACTTACTAAAAGGATGTTTCCGCATGTATTTGAAGCTTGATTTTACAAAACGTTTCCACGTTATCGGATTCTGTTGGCCGGTGCAGCAGTTGTAAACTACGACGCCTTGATCCCTGTAAACATATATGGCATTAAATTATTACTACACTACTATAGACACAGTCCTCTGCAGCTCTGTACTGATCCCGAGCTCTTCTCGTACACAAACAGACACAGATCCGACCTACATCTAGCCTCTAGTCCTATACTACACTACTATAGACACAGTCCTCTGCAGCTCTGTACTGATCCCGAGCTCTTCTCGTACACAAACAGAAACAGATCCGACCTACATCTAGCCTCTAGTCCTATACTACACTACTATAGACACAGTCCTCTGCAGCTCTGTACTGATCCCGAGATCTTCTCGTATACAAACAGACACAGATCCGACCTATATCTAGCCTCTAGTCCTATACTACACTACTATAGACACAGTCCTCTGCAGCTCTGTACTGATCCCGAGATCTTCTCGTATACAAACAGACACAGATCCGACCTACATCTAGCCTCTAGTCCTATACTACACTACTATAGACACAGTCCTCTGCAGCTCTGTACTGATCCCGAGATCTTCTCGTATACAAACAGACACAGATCCGACCTATATCTAGCCTCTAGTCCTATACTACACTACTATAGACACAGTCCTCTGCAGCTCTGTACTGATCCCGAGATCTTCTCGTATACAAATAGACACAGATCCGACCTATATCTAGCCTCTAGTCCTATACTACACTACTATGGACACAGTCCTTTGCAGCTCTGTACTGATCCCTACAGACACTATAGATACACATGACTAACCGTCTTAAATGCGTCCTCCAGGCGCACACGATCATCAGGTTGATAACGGTATCGACCGGGACGAGATCAGCGACCTTGTCTCCGGAACCTAGCATCGTTCTGAAGATGCCCTTCCCCACAGCGGCGACGATGCCATTAGGACCATTCCAGTTGTCGACCCAACCTTTCACTGGCTCCCGGACGGAGGAGAGCACTGAAAACCAAAGATATTTTCTGTAAATCCTCATTGATTCCTAACGGTTCTTCATGTCAAAGATTTTTTCCCAGAACAGCCTTGTTCAGATCTTTACATAATGCCGACTCGATATAATGGATTTAAATCTATCTCTCTTCACCATTGTGTCTTGTCATTCTGTCTTCGTTCATAATAACATAGTCATTACCTACCTATTTCTCAATTTTCAACTGCCCGTATTCCAATTTAAATTATAAATTAAGCTTTGAAAGTAATTCAGTAGGTTTCTGTAGCCGAATGTCGCTTACTTATTACAGAGAAATTTTTAGACATTTTTCCGTCGGAATTAAAGTGGAATTGTGAAATAATTAGTACGTTTTGTTAATCAATCTTACGATTCACTTAATAGCAGTATTCAGTCTCTTTGTCCCATTCTTTGGTCACGATTTACGACTTGCAAATCAGAAACGCCAAAGAAGTTGACCGGGAAATTTACTACTCTCCTCCTCTTGTCTATCATGACAGAAGTCTTGAAACATAATCTGAATTCCGCTGAGCCTGAGACACGAGTCCTCGACTCTTTAAGTGTATGGATGGTAGAAGCAAGGAGGACTATCTTGTCTAAGAGACAAGTTGAAAAACTGTCCATCCGTATACATCAAGTTGTTGTCGGAAGACTCACCGAAATAGCACTAGTGTAGGAAGTGGAAATGATATGAATATAGCAGTATTAAACAGAGTCAAGTGTGCTGGGTTTGTAATATAAAATTGAATATTATCGTGACTCGTGTAGTTAAAAAATATGCAGTATTTAAAATCTCAGCAAATATAATTATTAATATTTACGTAGGCACTGTTTCTTTCCTTCCTAATTTAATATCCTTCTTTAATAGTTTATGATGCTGTTTTTTATATCTTTCTTTTTATTGCTTAGATGGGGCAGCTCACAGCCCATCTGTGTTAAGTGGTTACTGGAGCCCATAGACATCTACAACGTAAATGCGCCACCCACTTTGAGATATAAGTTCTAAGGTCTCAAGTATAGTTACAACGGCTGCCGACCCTTCAAACCGAAACGCATTATTGCTTCACGACAGAAATAGGCAGGGTGGTGGTACCTACCCGCGCGGACTCACAAGAGGTCCTACCACCAGTAATACTTGCTACTACTTTTCACTTGCTACTATGGCGCCACCTTAATTGGCTGGCATCTTTTCAACGAACACTTTTTAATAAACTGAGATGGTGCTTCTTACTTCTATCCTCCATATTGAAGTCTCATACATTGTAAACATTTACATATATTTACCCACACATTCTTTTAAATGGATTTTTACCATTATTGTTGCGATTGTAACGCGCTGAAGCTTTAGTAACTCATTAAATCTGAAGATCGTGGTGAGAACCCATAAAATAATTGTGTGTGTGTGTGTGTGTGTGTGTGTGTGTGTGTGTGTGTGTGTGTGTGTGTGTGTGTGTGTGTGTGTGTGTGTGTGTGTGTGTGTGTGTGTGTGTTTGAGTGTGTAATGTAGACAATCGCGCAACTTTAAAACTATTTGTTACTTTCATATTAGTTTGTATCATTATCTTCGGGTTTTCGCGTGTCATAGCCATAAAAACAATTACTTTTACGATTATTTTTTACTGCCTTTAAATTATTTACTACTTTTCGAATATTTTACAGTTTTCGTGATCACGGACGACGGTCAGTCGTGTGTAAAGTCTTCTTTGTCTCCACCTTATCCCACTAGGGGGGGTCGGCACAGCGAATTTTTCTTTTCCATTCTCTCCTCTATCAGCCGTCACCTTAATACTCACGCCTCTTTCTTCCATATCGTTATTCACACACTTTATCCATGTCTGCTTCGGTCGATTTCTTTCTCTTCTACTTTGCTCTACCATTTCCATACATGTCCTAGTCACATGCATCTCTCTACCCTCTACGCATCTTAAGTAGTTTTTATATTTGTTTATTTCCATCGATGGATGGTACAGGTTTGCGTAAAGCGATATCGAGTTGGAATTATCTATTTTTTGAAACACACCAACGAAAAAGAAAACCGATAATTTAATATTAATTCCGTAATCAGCTATTCGTGCAGTATCATATTTGTGAAATACAAACACTTATCAATGACCGACCGTGGTAAATGATAGGCTATCTGTGAAAATTCCCGAGAAAAAACTGATTACGACATTGTAAAAACCTGAAAACTTGGAAAATGCATTGTACTTTATCGTGATTAAAGCATTATTATTTTTTAATGCTTAGATTTGTGGATGAGCTCACAGCCCACTTGGTGTTAAGTGGTTACTGGAGCCCATAGACATCTACAACGTAAATGCGCCGCACACCTTGAGATATAAGTTCTAAGAAGTTCTAAACGAAGAAGAAATCTTATATTTATACAACCCAATGTGTCCAAGGCAAGAAACTCTTCCTCTAAATGACGTTTTATGGCGTCAGGTAGGTATGTATCCAATACAACACGATTTTACGCTTTCGAGTTAACGCAAATTGATGCGAACAACTTATAACATGAAGCTAAAAAAAATATATCACAAAACGTCACGTTGGCAACAGTGGAAACGGATAATGAATTAAACTTCCATGTTCTTAACTAAGTGTTTTTTTAAATTAATCTTTAATTTCACTTTACTATCCTAACAGCATAATAATGCAAAAGAAGATGTAACGCTGATGTCAGAAAGGTAGTTGTCAAATGAAAATTACTAGGTTAGGTTTGTGGAGGGTAAAAGTGAGGAGACAAATTTATAAAGTGTCTGGATGTGATCAGTCAATTAGTAATAAAAAAACCGCTGAAATAACGCTACGTTACCAGTGTGTATATACGAATTTGGTAGCTATAAACGGGGTGAAGAATAAGTAATCTAATAAAATTCCTTTTGGCGCCATTTTTGAAATGAAAACTCTTTGCTACGGTGGCGCCGCCCAAATTAGGCGCTTTTTGACGGACGTTTTCTTAAACACAGAGTACTCATTACCTTTACGCCTTGAAACCACGATACTTTAAGACAAATATTTTTTCTGTATGGAAACTAGCGACATCTTGTAGCGGCTGCCCCTAAACTTATATGTTGTTAAAAAGTTAAGACATTTAATTATTGTAGAACTAAACACAGAAAATAAAATATTAAAAATCATATGTACAAGTCTTTATTTGTTATAGACAAATAGATTAAATTTTATCAATGTGTGGTTTCTGAAAATTTACAAAATCCCTCATTAAAAATAAAATATAGGTAATATGTTACTGCCGTCTACAGGAGCAATGAGAGACTAATCGAAGCGAAGCCATCTAGTGGCCGACGCCCGTAAACATTTTTGTTGAATGCTTGAGTTCCTTATCTATAGCTAATTTATGTGTATTATCTATGACCTTTACCCTCCAAAGCTAAGATTGTGTTTTACAGCGCGTATTTTTTTTTATTTATTGCACTTGCAGGCAGACGAGCATACGGCCCACCTGATGGTGAGTGGTTACCGTCGCCCATGGACTTCAGCAATGCTAGGGGCAGAGCCAAGCCGCTGCCTACCGCTGCGTATCTTGAAATATTATTAAAAACGTGAACCAAGATAGTCCTATTTCACTTTAGTGGCCCAATTCCACGTGTAAATGAATCGTGAATCATATCATATATTTTTTTTACACCGATAAGATACCGACGTTATGCAGCCAATTTTTTTTATAAGTGAAATGTTTGATCGTTGATTGCAGTAATGAAAGCGGAATCCGACTTGCGACATATCCGCGATAATTTCGGTTCGAGATAACAAAATACGTGCCATTGATTGTGACCATTTTCAATTATCCTAGAGGCTTCAATCTTTCCAGAAATTTCCAATTTATTACGCACATTAACCCTTCGACTGCCATGTAGATCACCGGTGCCCTACGCGGCGCACTAAAGTAATTATTTCAATTTCTGTTACAAGGCGCTTAGATTGGCCTAACTTTGCCTTCTTTTGTTTGTCAATGTGCGTTTTAGTCTTGTAGGTCGCTTAGAAACAGATTCATTCTCAGTATCTACGGATTCATTTCCCCCAGAGTCTACTAGATATTCCGGTGCCTTCGTAAGAAGATCGCCGATAGACACAGCCTACTGAGTTTCTCGCCGGATCTTCTCAGTGGGCCATGTCTCCAATCCGGCACTGCTCTTGCTCTAGTGTTAGCAACACTCCCGGTTTGAGCCCCGTGAGCTCACTTACACGTGATAGTGAAGCTAAAATATCCTCCCAAGGCTATCAGCTAGGGAGGGGAAAAAATTCCTCCTGATATTAAAGGGAGATAGATATATATATAAAAGTTAGCTCACCGATTGAAGGTCGTACGATCGCAACTGGCAGGTTCCCGCTCTCCTTGATGAGCATATCCTCGGCCAGGGCCTTCGTGAAAGTGTACGTGTTAGGCCTGTGAACTGTGGACCCAAAAAAAAAACAAGAAGATCGATATATTTCCCAATCTAATACTCGTATAATCTATACTAATATATAATCTACAGTGGTTTTTTTTTATTGCTTAGATGGGTGGACGAGCTCACAGCCCACCTGGTGTTAAGTGGTTACTGGAGCCCATAGACATCCACAACGTAAATGCGCCACCCACCTTGAGATATAAGTTCTAAGGTCTCAGGTATAGTTACAACGGCTGTCCCACTCTTCAAACCGAAACGCATTACTGCTTCACGGCAGAAATAGGCAGGGCTCACAAGAGGTCCTACCACCAGTAATTACGCAAATTATAATTTTGCGGGTTTCATTTTTTATTACACGATGTTATTTCTTCACCGTGGAAGTCAATCGTGAATATATCTAAGATTGGATCCTCTTTAATTATGTGATGTATGTTATCTTTCTGAATTCTTCTGCATAAAATAGCTGCCAACACATAGACAATCCACTAAAGCTAAGCTCAAAAGCAGGCTGGATGTTCCGTTATAACTACTAAGCCATGCATCCGATTGACTTGAAACTTAGTATCCATGTAGAAAATACATGTACTTAATGGATAGGCTAATATTTATATGAGTGTTGGACTCCTTACACCAGTTGCGGGGGCGTTAATGATGAGAATCTTTGTGGGGGTGAGAAATAATAATGTTAATTTTAAATGCCCAGCGAAGCGGACTGGTACAGCTAGTACTCGTAAAAGGACGTCAACAGATTAAGCCACATTCAAAAGCTCGTTCAGTACATGCTATAAGTGTTCTTAACTCTTTGTGCGCTTTCTTACTGGTGGTAGGACGTCTTGTGAGTCCGCCCGGGTTGGTACCACCACCCTGCCTATTTCTGCCGTGAAGCAGTAATGCGTTTCGGTTTGAAGGGTGGGGCAGCCGTTGTAACTATACTTGAGACCTTAGAACTCATAGCTCAAGGTAAGTGTCGATATTTACGTTGTAGATGTCTATGGGCTCCGGTAACCACTTAACACCAGATGGGCTATGAACTCGTCCACCCATCTGAGCAATAAATAAATAAAAAGAACCGTCGCTAGATCGACGCTTTATTAATGTGTATAAAGTGCGGAGCGTCGGAATACCGACTAAAGCGCAGTTCGATTGCATCATAGATAATAAATACACAAAAATTAGTCATTAGATATCGACCTGTAAGGACGTGTCGTAGCGCGAGTTACATATAGCGTTTTTTTAATAAGATAATAGCATTTATTAAACATTATTAACCATTAAACATTATTTTGTTGTTAATTTAGGATGTTTATTTAATGTTTTTCTTAAAGGTATTTTTTTTTTTCAAAAAGTCCTTTAGCAATTTCTGCAAAATATGTGAAATGTCGGCACACGTCAGGGATGGCTGAGCGGTAGGTTCCGTCATCGCTTGTATTCGATTGAACTCAGTTTAGTCAATAAAACTTTTCAATAATAATTATTGAAACTCAACACACACAACTTTCACAATGACAGGGTAAACCGACAGTTTCGTTGCACATACCGACAGACCGACTGACCGACTGACTGGCTGACAGAGACTCACTGACTGAGACGGACGGAATTACTGTCTGACACGGAATGCCACGACTCTGTCCACGTACCGCCATTTTATACTGTGGCGTTACGTAGTCTACCCTTCATTTTGTGATATTTATCAAAACAACATTTCATCATTTAAAATAATAATCAAAACCACCGTCTTAATATTACTAAAAGTCGTTATCCACGACAACTAAAGTCGTTATCCACGACACGGCCATTCTGACATGTCACACGTCCCTGTGTGACGCTCCTGCAAGGAAAACAACCTTTTGCAATATCAAACAGGTTTCGTCTCGGCCAATCCTGATACATTCACGATTGAGGATTGGGATTCCTTTCATTACAAACCATAACGTTAGCTCTCAACAAGATCTTTAACAGACTATGTTAACCTGTGTGAGTAGATAGCTCAATTACCCAATTATTAGTGATACACTACACAACTGAAAAATTTCATTAATGCTCAATAAGCATTAGAAACCAGAGTTATTACAAAACAACTCAATCTGAGCAGTATTTCATCAGTATTCTGTATTAACCACAAACTATCGTTACAATTACTTCCATCTAGTGAGAGTAACTCATGCCACCTATATCGAGTGACGATAACCCAATTCAAGTGCCACCTCCATCGAGTAGCTCTTGACTACTTATTGCCTATAAGCTCAGCACTAATAGGGTTAAGGAAATATGAAACACGTGTGACTCACACAATGAAAGATTTATCGTAGTGTAATAAATATAAAAACTTGTACAGTGTGCTTAGTGAGAGTTTTTTAACGTTCTCGATAGCGCAGAAGTTAACGCAATCACCTCCCAGATGGCCCGGCTATCTAGTCAAAATCGCTGGGTCATATTGGATGTAGGTGGCAACGGACCGGCCGCACTGGAGATCGATTGAAGAAGCCTATGTTCAGTTTACTTAGAGTTTTTAAAGTTCTCGATAACGTAAAAGTTAACGCAAATTTGTATGCAGTTGGAACAGCGCCCCTAGCGGCAAACCTAGACAAACGTTCCAACCATATACAAAACTTTAACGCTATCGAGTTAACTTTAACGCTATCGAGAACGTTCGCAACATTACTAGTAGTCAGAGTTTTTAAGGTTCTCGATAGCGTAAAAGTTAACGCAAATTTGTATGCTGTTTAAACAGCGCCACTAGCGGCAAACCTAGACAGACGTTCCAACCATATACAAAACTTTAACGCTATCGAGTTAACTTTAACGCTATCGAGAACGTTCGCAACACTACAAGTAGTCAGAGTTTTTAAAGTTCTCTATAGCGTAAAAGTTAACGCAAATTTGTATGCTGTTGAAACAGTGCCACTAGCGGCAAACCTAGACAAACGTTCCAACCATATACAAAACTTTAACGCTGTCGAGTTAACTTTAACGCTATCGAGAACGTTAAAACACTCGCACCACTACAAGTTTTTTTTTTATTACACTACGATGTTCCTTCATTGCGAGAGTCACGCGCGTGTGTTTAGTTCCGTATCGTCGCGGTGCACTCACCGACTAGGTGCGGCGTGATCCTGTCCACCAGCTCGTCGGGCAGGGTCTGCACCAGCGCGACCACGTGCCCCGGGTCGGCCGGCGGCGCGTACACCGTCTCCTCGACCCTCTCCCTCTCGCAGTTGCAGTACGCCGTCGAAACGTGAACGAGAGCCTGCAATTTGAGGACACGTTTATTTACTTACTAGTGCTCCCCCACTAGTCGAACGAATTTCAACTATACTTATTATTATTATTTTTTATTGCTTAGATGAGTGGACGAGCTCACAGCCCACCTGGTGTTAAGTGGTTACCGGAGCCAATAGACATCTACAACGTAAATGCGTCACCTACCTTGAGATTGAAGTTCTAAGGTCTCAGTATAGTTACAACGGCTGCCCCACCCTTCAAACCGAAACGCATTACTGCTTCACGGTAGAAATAGCCGGGGCGGTGGTACCTACCCGTGAGGACTCACAAGAGGTCCTACCACCAGTAATTACGCAAATTATAATTTTGCGGGTTTGATTTTATTACACGATATTATTCCTTCACCGTGGAAGTCAATTCTGAACATTTGTTTAGTACATATTTCATGAGAAAAATTGGTACCCGCTTGCGGGATTCGAACACCGGTGCATCAATACATACGAATGCACCGGAGGTCTTATCCTTTGAGCCACGATGACTTCAAATGTCAATTATATATGTCAATTATACAAAAGCTATTCCACCGAGACGGGAATCAGTGAATAGTGCCGCTTTGGAGATCTGGTCTAATCATTGTATGCTAAGTGTAGCTCACCACAAGACCGAGCATACGATGGCAGAGCTGGACGAGCTGCTGGGTCCCGAGCATGTTGATCGTGACGGACAGCTTCAGTTTCTCGTCGAATTTCACCGTCGCAGCCGAGTGGAAGACCACCGACACCTGTCAATCATCAGCGTCATGACCACGAGAACTTGCTGTACAACTACGGTAAACAGTACTAGAATCCGTGATCATAAAAAATCAGCTACCTTGAGATATAAAGACATTTTCAGTAATAACGTTTAACAGTTTTTCTTTAGGAAAAGGCAGGAGCTTACCTTTTTTTCTTACCTAATCTGAAAATTGAGAGGCTATTTCAGCGTAACCTTAACTAGTAGGTGAGCTCACGGGGCTCAAACGTGACGAGGTTGCTAACACGAACCCTAGCAAGAGCCGTGCTTCGCAGAATCTACCACCGGATCGGAAACGCGACCCACTGAGAAGACCCGGCGAGAAACTCAGTGGGTTGTGTCTATGGGTTAATTTACTCGTCGAGCCCTTCGTCGCAAGCGACGGGTTCAACGGGAACTCCCATGTGGCCCTGCAATACGCGAGACACTTAATCCTTTGCTTGTCTAGAGCACTGTCTACTAGGACCATGGTTATTCGATGGGCCATATCTTAGCCAATTAGTTTATCTGTGATCCACTATTAATAATATGAAAAATAAAAAATCAACAAAGGATTGTTTTTGTTAAGCGCTTACCATTTGACAGAGCAGCATCTGATCGGTCTGACTGATGCCCAGCTCTGGCTCGGTGATGTCCCCGACTATTGGCACTATTTTGTTTAATTCTTGAGGTCGTTCTTTCCTTAAAGTCTCGAACAACTGTTGAAGGTATTTCTTAATAATATTCGATCGAAATAGATCCATCAAAAACCACCTATCGGTACGTTCTTACAATTATCCCGATATTTCGGGGTGTTCATTTCCCTACCTAATTACCGATAGCCTTGAAAAGCCCTTTTGGTTTCACCGAACTGGAAGGCAAGCTCCCGGGACTCTGCCTGAAAGACTTTGCCTGCCCTAGTAAGGCAATACTTCGCTAAATCTACCACCAGATCGGACGATCCACTGAGAAGTTCAACAAAGAGTAAAGGAATGGGTTTTCTCTCAGCGCCATACTCACGAGATAGACAAGTGATTTATTCGTGTAATTCAAAACAAAAATTGACAAAAAAGGACCACTTTAACTAATCCCTTTTACGTGAACTGTGGTCTTTCCCTAATGATAATATATTTAAATTCTAAGCATATTTTACATTATTATCAGTATTAGGGTCATACAGACATTACGCGCTAGTTGCTTATTCAAAATAATTTCCCAAAAGGCTTCAAATCGTGAGTCATGTTTATCGATTCGTGCACACGCCCCAAAAAGTCTCTAAACACCAAAACCACAAGGCTAAAGCTTAAACAATATGGATACAGCAGAACCGATTATAGTCCGACATTACAATTATAATTTTAATTAAGATAATGTTTTTACAGAAATACATTAAAGTAGGGTACGCCCATGGTATGCCACATTAAAACTCCGAGACAATATCATCTTCAATATCGGGTCTGGACAAACAGGCCAATTATTTTTTTTATTTTTTTTTATTGCTTAGATGGGTGGATGAGCTCACAGACCACCTGGTGTTAAGTGGTTACCGGAGCCCATAGACATCTACAACGCAAATGCGCCACCCACCCCCTGAGATATAAGTTCTAAGGTCTCAAGTGTAGTTACAACGGCTGCCCCACCCTTAAAACCGAAAAGCATTACTGCTTCACAGCAGAAATAGGCGGCTAGGTGGTACCTACCTACCCGTGCAGACTCACAAGAGGTCCTACCACCAGTAATTACGCAAATTATAATTTTGCGGGTCTGATTTTTAATACACAATGTTATTCCTTCATAATGGAAATCAATCGTATAAAATGATGTAAATGCAGTCGTAATGAAACGATAGAGGCAAAAGATAGGTAAGTCGAATATAACAAGTAGAAACTAAGCACTGCTCAAGCGCTATAAATATGAATATTTTTGTGAACTCTATGCCCTTTAACGATTAGTAAAAACGCAATGCAGGACGCCCTCAGGCGCGGTGGAGTGATGATCTGTGCAGGGTGGCTGGCAGGAGCTGGATGAGAGAAGCCGAGGATCTTGCTCAGTGGCGAGAAATTGGAGAGGCCTATGTCCAGCAGTGGACTGCTGATGATGATGATGATGAAATAAACTTACTGGTGACTGGGTCAGCTCCGTTAGTCGTGACGCGACGTCCTGTCCTCGCTTCGGTCGCATCAACAGGTATATCTTCTTTATTTTCGGACAACTCCTAAGCAGTTTCTCGACAAGGACCTGAAATCTCAAATCTTTACAAATTCCCGTTCACACGTGTACCTCTGTCGAGTGATGGGAAAAATCGAACCGAAACTCCTGGGTTTGGGTGGCCTAGTGATTTGGAAATACGAGTATGCAGTGACTAGAATGGTACCTCAATGTTCTGTTGTGTCTCAAGCGCTGGGAAACCATGGCAATTCAATATTCTGTCGTCTACAACAGGAGTCATTGTGGCAACTTCCAAGACAATCAAGGCGAAAAGTCCAACAAAGAACATAACAGGTCGGATTGGCTGTTGCATACTAAATTCAAGTCAGTTGTATCAAGAGAGACGTTTTGAAAGCACACATTTTCAATTTCAATACACACAGGTTCAAAAAAAGCCGAAAGCTCTGTGAATTACCGACGAACCAATGTATGGGGCTAATATTTTCTTTTTAATTACTCAGTACTCATTAAAAATAATTTGTTAGACAACTTCAAAATAGAAAAAAATATATATTTCTATTTCGACTCTAATTTTTTTTCATACATGTGCCCTCAGAGCTTTGAAGAACAGGTAGAGCAGGTTCTACCTGAACTGATTTTGATGTTGTTTTTTTTTATTAAAATTAAATAAAACCTAATGCTTCTCTTATCTCTTTGAGTGATCCTTAGGTAAGCATTTTTAATCGACTGGATCGAACTCTTTTTTTTTGTCGATTTTCTTTTTTTTCTCAAAAGCTTTATTTTAATACGCTTTTATTAGCGTCAGACGTATACATGTTAGTATGTAACGGAATCTTTGAACATGATTTTGACCCCCTTCAAAACGTCGGATTAACTCGAAATTTGGCATACTTATTAAGGACCAATGACAATTCAATATTAATAAAATAAATTGAAAAAATTGAAATTCAACTAAAAAATGAAAAATAAATAATAGTTTAAAAAAACTAAAAAAATACGCTTTCATAGAAAGTCTGACTAAAAATAGAAAATAAATTTTAATAAATTTGAATTAAAAATAGTGTAAGAAAAAATGATTTTATTATAAAAAAAGCGTGGGGTGCATGGTATCAGTAATTATAAATATTTTATGAACAGATATGAGTAGAAGGGTTATTTTGATAATATCCTGAAAAGCTCCCCACGCTTTTTTTACAATAAAATATTTTTTTCTTACACTATTTTTAATTAAAATTTATTTTCTATTTTTTAGTTGGATTTTCTATAAAAGCGTTTTTTTTAGTTGTTTTTTTTTATTTTTAGTTTTTATATTAACTTAAAAACAAACACATTGGACTTCACCTTCCCCATGAAGCCGGTGCCGCCCGTGACAAAAACCGATTTCTCTGCATAGAACTCGGCGACCGGGGTGTAGTCACTGCCGCTTGAATAATTCGCGCCAACACAAGACGCCATCTTGCCGACGAGTCGTTTACTAACAAAACGCTATAAGCAATTGCTGCTTTTGAACATCAAATGCCGTCGCCACCAGTTCGGTTATAGGAAGATACGTTTGCGGAAGCCAAATGATTTGTTGCTACGTCAGTTCTGTCCGAATGTTTTGAGCATGGCTATGTTTTGGATGGGTTTTTTTTACCTGTAACAAATACATAAAAATATATTTATATTTTATATTTACTAACAATCACGCTACCTTTAACTGGTCCCGTGATAAGTTCGTGAAGAACTTGTGTTACAGGTACCAGATAACGGAAATAAATTTAAGATATTTATTATACACATACATATATTTAATATACATCCATAGCCCTGGAAAATACATTTATATTTATCATACAAATATCTTCCCTTGGCGGGATTCGAACCCGCGACCCCCTTGTGTAGTGACCATGTCACTTACCCCTACACCAGACGGCTACACCAAATGTTAGTCTATTTAATGGCGGAACGCGTTATGTGCTTATTTCTGTGATGGAACCACAGGACTTTGTAGTCTTAAGAATGGAATAGTTACTCGATTCAGAATTCCACATCATATCTTCAGTTGTACGGTACTTTCATATCGATGATTTCATCATGACTTGCCAATTACGATCGCGTTTCACGATAAGTATTATCCAATAAAACATCACCGACAAATGTACAATCAATAAATACCATTACGGAAATCGTATAGAGTTTGGTCGAGAATAAATAATCGAATTAAATAATGTTAAAAATTTCGCACATAAGTCTTAACTTTTCTAGTTCTTCTCACGGACAGTCCTTTTTTTTCGATCAACAACAATAATCGCAATGTTAAAGGACAATTAATCGTAATTGTTTTTCATTTTCATTATGTCCAAGGACTCCATGGATTACGTGTACCCCGGAAGGTCGTCCCCGAAACGTCCTATCTAGAGCGGTTGTAACTTCAGCAGCTATGAGATGCTTAAGTCAATAAATTGTGGTTGTAAGTCTCCTACTCCTTCGAATATATATAGCCCCGAGCTTGGATCTCGTCCGTGGATGTCCGACCAGCGTTTCATTATCCGTTTCAGTTCCGTTCACTGTTCTCGTCGACTCCGACGAAGAGTTCGACGTGCAACCTAACCCAGAGACCCAACCCGTTGAGTTTCTCGCCGGATCTTCTCGGTGAGTCGCGATTCCGATCCGGTGATAGATTCAACGAAACACTGCTCTTACTAAGGCCAGTTTTAGTAAACTCTATGAGGCTGAGCCCTGTGAGCTCACCTACCAGCCAAGGTGCAACCCCAATAGCCCCTCAAATTTATTGGCCGACAGGTAAACAAAAAAAACCGTCTCATTGTTGTCGACACAGCGGACAGACATGGCTGTGTGCTTTTGTCTACCAAAGCCGTGATAATTTATCAGTACATAGGGACTCCATGAATCCTAAATGCAGTATTAACTGGAGTGCAAACTGGTATTTAGTTTTGGAGCCAATGGACATTCAAACGTGAACGCTTCCACCCACCTTGAAACATGAGGCTTAAATCTCAATTTTATAGTGTAACGGTTGTCATTCAAACCGAAAAGCAATGCTTCGCGGCGAGAATAGGCAAATGGTAGTGGAATTTACTCATGCGAGCTCACAAGAGGCCTTACTAGTAGACCATTTATAACATAATATCAAGCTTTAACCTAGTGACCTGAATCTCTGTTGCTATTGCACCAGAATGCAGAACCTCTATTCTCGTCTACCTTTGAGGCAGCCGTTTGAGCAGTTTGATTGCGCCCAGTCTAATTTTATAAATGTAATCCCAAATAAGACTGTGATGCAGGAAGATTTTAGTCTACAAGAGATATAAATGGGATTCAAAGAATCATAATTATCAGTGACAGGACGTCAGCTGCTAATGACCAGCATCCTGGATAAATCCCATAGGAATTTTCGGAGGCATCCTGCATCCTGTATGCCCGAAATATACCGTCATTTTAATATAGCAAGAGAGAGAAATACTTTAATAAATGATAACAATTTAAAACAGCGCGCCAACTTACAAGAGAACAAAAAGAAATACAACTCGATTAACTTGATCACTTAAACAATACTGTCCACTTTCTTTTGTAGTTTTAATAATAACATTTTTTCATATATTTTAAATGAAAAATAAAATATGTTTCGTTAACAGCAAATCACGTCTGTTATGTCATTCTGTCATAATGACAGCTGTCAGGATGGAACTCGGAGTGAGAATAGAGAATATTTACATTACTTTGATAGCAGGAAATTTAAAGACAGATAAATAAACCAGGCGTTGGTATGTGCAAACATTTCACGAGAAAAAAGTATTGAAATGTATTAACGAATTTCAGCGGTCTATTTTTAAATTGGTAGTAGCGTTAGTAGTATTGGTCTGACCAAGTTGAGGACCAAATTAACGTAGTACTGTGCAATGATTGACGAACAGATGTGTTTGCTCTTTGTCTGAATGTTTCTTATCTATACATTTGTATATATATAAACGTATATATGTATGTTTGTCACTCTCTGGTACCCATAACACAGGGAATCCTGAATTGCGGCCGGACAACCTTGCGTGATTTGTTCCCAGTTATTACTATTATTATAATCTGTTTTTAATTATGTCTATGACTCGTAATAGCCAAAGAAAATACTATGGTGGTGACTAATGCACGTAAGTTGGATTGACAGGTTTGTAAGACAGCGTACTAGAATACTCAGTATAAGACGCCACTGACCAGTGCGAGTTTTTTAACGTTCTCGATAACGTAAAAGTTAACTAAAATTTGTATGGAGTTGGAACAGCGCCCCTAGCGGCAAACATCCCTACGCTTTAAAGAACTCGCACTAAGCACATAGATAAAACGACCACATACGAGCGGCCTTGGAGGCGCGAATTCAGGAGACCAGCGTAGATTAATGATTATGGGCACTCGATACCAGAGGAGGCGTGGGCCATAGCAATAAGGAACGGCAGTTATTACAATTCCAGTACTTTGATAACAATAATGCTGATAGCACACCGCAATAAATATTCACTATCTAAATACCATTTCATAAATAGGTCATTAGCAAACGTACGCACGCTCTGTCTATCTGTTAATAAAAAAAACGTGACCTCGTTGAATGCTGCAATTATAGGCTTCTTTTTCTTCTAGCCCCTATTGCACATTATGCCCTTTTTTTAGGAAGGAAGAATTACTGGTGACCCGAAAGTCTTTCCAGCTTCAACAGGACAAGTGGCCGAGCAAAAGCTCAGTCAAGAGGGATGCAATTAGCTATAAGCTGCCCGAGCGCCTCCAAAGGAGACCTAACAACTCAAGGGTAGCTGCTTCGCGAATGAATTTACCACCGGATCAGAATCGCGACCCGCTGAGAAGATCCGGCGAGAAACTCAGCGGGCTGATGCATGAGTTAGGGCATTGTGTGGTGTCGGTATAGCATGTCCTCTTGTCATGCTGCAAAGGAATTTGACATGAGTTTCACGACTAGCCACCTGCCTGGTGTCAATCCTCCATTGGTTAAATCTCCAATAGTAGATCCATTCTAACGTGCCATATGGAGTAAACATTTTTGTTTCTTCTTTTGGTATTTATTTTACTTCGTCCGTTTCTTGTTCTATGATTATTGCGAATTAAATGTTTTAATGATGACCATGGTACAAATTACGCGTGTTGTGTTTTATTGGTTTTCTTATTTTTCCTTATATATTATTATATAGTTAAGTGATTGAGGAGAAAGATGTAGGAGCTCACAACCAACCTCATGTTAAATGGTTACTAAATCTCCATAGACTTGAAAACGTGAATACCGTCACCCCATAGACACAGCCCACTGAGCTTCTCGCCGGATCTTCTCAGTGGGTCGCGATTCTGACCCGTTAATAGATTCTGCGAAGCACTGCTCATCCTAGGGCTAGTGTTAACAAATTATCTCAGGTTGAGCTCGTGAGCTCACCTACCCGTCCCAGCCTAGCTGGAATAGTTAGCCCCAGCGAAGGGAAAAGCAAGAGGTCACCGCATGAGGTCGAAATCTCTATCGTAAATACAAATAGATAGGATTTACCTACCCGTGTGGACTTGCATTTCGTTCTACCACTAATAAATACCGATTCGACATCTCTAAACTCTGGTATTGCACTCAAAGAACGCTGCTTTCGATTCTCCGGTGAATACAGAAGAAGATATGGGGTGCTATTCTGCACACACGTCTTATATAACGCACAAGAATCTCCTTTGAGGACCCTGAATTCGTAACCATTATTCATTAATTACTTGCATTTGTAAGGTTTGTTGTGAAATCATTAAAAAAATAAAATGTATCATGTTAAAGTTAGGGCAATTATCGGATTGCCAAATAGCAACACTGTTGGTGTGAGCAATGGCAGTAGTGGGGACGTGACATAATAAAAAAGGCGGTAGTCTGAAAAACCGGGACAGAAAGCAGTGTATTCTGTAGTGAGCAAATATCTAAAGATTGTACAAATGGAGTTACAAATAAAGCAATATAGAATTAAGTGAACTATTGGAATCTGTGTATTTATTTCCTGGCTTTGGAACCCGAGTTTTACACATTTATGTTTTACTAATTTTGTCACGTTTACGAGTAAGGACGCGGCCGTTGCATAAGCCGAGCTGTTCTAGATTAATAAAATTTTGTCTTATAATTACAAGAACACTATCTTTGGAATGATTGATCGATCTTATCGTTCTTATTATCGGTTCGTTTTGTAACCGCGATAATGAATTTTCATGTTAGATTACGTAGGTACGTCCGCATAGCTCTGGTGAACAGTGTACTTAGTGCGAGGTTTTTAACGTTATCGATAGCGTAAAAGTTAACTCAAATTTGTATGCAGTTGGAACAGGGCGGCAAACGTAGGCAAACGTTCCAGCTCCATACAAATTTGAGTTAACTTTTACGCTATCGAGAACGTTAAAAAACTCGCGATAAACACACAACTGAGCTCAAGGTGCATCTGTTGTTAGGCGGTGCCTTAGTAACGCCGCTCGACTTGAAAAACAAATAACAACTTATATATAAACCTGTAAATATGTTATAATGTAATAAAATTTTATAAATTTTGATACTGAAACTTAAAATATAATTCTTAATGATTTAACCTAAAAGTACATATTAATATCCGCAACACGCTTCGTCAGATTATA